TGTTTATTACATAAATGATAGCGAGCGGAGAGTCGAGTGAAGGCCGTGAGTGCAGGAGATGAGAGTAGACAGAACAATGGTAAAGATAATCCGATCACTTGCTGGGTAACTTTGGTGATGCAAGTGTGACCGCACAAGTCCCTCCGTGTCTCTGTTCCTCACTGCCTTTCCATCAGTTGCTTTGAAGGGGACAAACGCAGCCTTGTGTAGCAGCATGCGCTATCACGCACCACAATGTGTGGCCGTCGCTGAAGAAATTCTGCTTAAAGGGGTCATATCATGAAGAATCAAATTTTCCTTGGTCTCTTGAGATAAAAGAGTTCATTGTGCTATGAAAACATACTGTAACTTTCAGAACTCAAAACACCCCCCACAGCTAAAATAAGAGCATTTATTGAAACTAAGCTGCAAAAATGGCTTGTTCTAAACTTATGCAGCTTTCTGATGTCCCGGGGATGAACACAACTGATCACTTTACACTTCTACAGTGTTTTCCGAAACCTGGCCTGTCCATTAATTTGGTATGAATGAGATTAATGAAATGAGATTAATCTTAATAAACACCAGAATAGCTAATGACAAAAGAAATATAGTGCTGTTTCTCACTGTTTATTTGCACTTACTGCTCTACCCTTCCAGATGGTTCCAGTGTTTCATTATCTGTAGATAGATGCTGCTAATCCTCATTCATTTGCTCTGGATCAATGCAAATCCGCTAGCGTGAGCGAAATCCCTCCCTGAGCCTGTGGCTCCTAATGCATTTTCCCACCATTAACCAGCTATAATCCCTGCTAATCATTGCTAATCCACATCTCCTGTGTTTGATGATACTCTACTGATGGAGGAAGTGGCGTTGTGACTCAAATGCCCAGGCTCAGCCCAGGTCTGTGGTTCGCCAGACGTGGGCATGAGCCAGGAAGTGATTTGTACAGTTGAGAGAGAAAGGAGCCACTGGGCTTTCAGGTAAGCCTGATGGCAATGGCCATCCCAGAGTGCATCTTCCTGTTGTTTGGTGTAATTATGCACAAGTAACAAAGCTGTACTCATCAGACTTGCACATTTAAGTGCTCTTCTCCTATAGATTGTCTTTAATGGGTGCTTCTTAATCAACCTTCAAGCATTTAGTGTCTTTATACACGAAACCCTTAGTCTGTCTCCATGAAGTTTGAGAACTTTTAGAACTTTAGAAGCCAGTTTTGTAATCCAATTTTTGTAGAAAGCACCAATCAATAATCTCTTACATATAGGGCATACGAACGGTTATTTCATAACCACCATGACAGGAAGCTAAAATAATGCAATATCATTATAACATGCAACAAACCACCATAATATGACTTTGTCTCACAGCAGGATAAATTAATGCACATCCTTTGTCCTGAGAGTTTAACTGGTGGTCACTGGAAATGTATGGTCCAGAATTTAATGATTCATAAGTCTCCGTCAATCAGGGCATACATCCCATTTGAACAAAAGCCTAACTCTTTGGAAATACAGCCTGCTGTGGACATGCTATCTGCTTTCTTACAGAGCTGTCGTTCATTGTGACATCTGGACAAACTTTGGCCCCGGAGACTCATTCCACACACATTCATTCATGGTTTACTGTGTCTATTTATAACCACAGTGGTAAGTCATTTTTAGTGGCGGATTAGTTAATATGATGTCACATTTAGAAAAGTGCAGTTTACTTGAGTAGTTTTAATGATAAAAAAAGATGTGTGTGTGTGTGTGTGTGTGTGTGTTTGTGCCACACATTCTCATTCCAGGTAACATCACTCTTCAATTCCATAGTTTAACAGATTCCCACTAGCTATTCTTCACCTAGACACACCTGTACCACCTTTGCCCTGTATCTGGGTGGGCTAAAACATGGAAGGTAACTGCATATTCTAAGACGCTTATCTCTTTCCTGATCTTTCTGTCTCTTTTTCCTCTTTTTACAATTGGTAGAATAGACATAAGCTTGAAAATATTCCCGTTGATTTCTTCCCATTTCCCAACGAGCACTGGATATTAAATAAGAGCTACTTTCTCTCTCTAACAAGGAAACAACGAAGTAATACACATTCTGTAAGATTTGTTCTATAGACGGTAAAGCTTTGGGAATAAGTCTCTGTTTTAGGAAGCTGATTTATTAGAAGGAAAGGTGTGCCAAATGACAACCTATCAAAAAAAATGGTCTCACTTCTAACATAATTTTTAAAGCTGTTATTATTTGAAATATAAACTTTTTAGAGATAAATGTTGGCATGGGATTAAAGGAAGCACATCATCTGAGAACCAATGGATTACTTGGATGACTTTTGAAGAGGATTGTGGAAAATTGAACCACGAACCCAATGCACCGTAGCTCGTGCATTAACTTTTTACGTCGTTAGGGGGCGCTTGGGAATCACTGTTTTCTCTTAACTTCTCTTCCAATGCGATGCCTGAGTAATTGGACACACAGCTCGTATCACATAAATCACAAACCAGAAATGTTAGTTGTCTAAGAAAAATTGAAAAAAGAAAGAAGCCAAGGTATAAGAATTTTAAACTTTATCACTTATGTTTAATTTATAGCCTAACAAACATTTTCTCGGTTGGTATATTAATTTTGACCACGGGCAAAGCTCGTTTATGATGCTGAGATGAACTTAACTATACTAAAATAGTTTTTTAAAAATTTCATTAGTTGTATAAATGATTTGTACTTCATTAACTACCTCATTTTTAATTAATAAAAGTTGCCATTTTGTAAATAGCCTACGTTCTACACAAAACACCCCAAATCCAATGCGAACGGAGAAGAACCGGGGAAAAACGAATAGAAATAAAGAAGTCAATGAGAACTTTTCAAATGGGGAAATTTTTTTACATATCCAACGACAGATTTAAAATATTGTTAACACAATTGTTATTAGGTCCTATCTACAATTTGGCAAAAGACGGCAATGTAATTTTGCCAGAAACCATTCTTAGCCTACATTACTCTTTACATTACTCACTAATAAATAACATAACCTTTTTAATAACAGATTTCACATGACTACGTTCATTTTAAACCAGCATTTATCAGCATCCTGATGCATGCTTTGATCTGTCTAAAGCCGTTCTTAAAACGTATTAAACAGGAGAAATATATATATATATATATATCAAAGCAAACGATAACGAGCTGAGAGTGTTGTAGTGTTGTCTGTAAGGGAAATCAGTAGCCTATCATCAAACGATGAAGATGCCTCAGAAGATGCTTATAAAAGAAATAGGAATCTTCGTAAACACTTCGAATTCTGATTTGCGAGTCACTGATAAAAAACAATTACAGCAAGTTCCAAATTCCAAGCTCATGTGAAATCAAACGAATTTGTCCTTTTATGTATTTATATATTTTTTTCTTAGAAAAGACAAGACTGCTTTAGATAACTGGTTTTGGGATAAATTTGCATGCAGTCAGTAGTATGGGATCTTGATGTTCTAAAGTAAATAAATGACACAATCCACTGTTTTTTTTTTTTTTTAGAACAACCACACATTATACTTTTTAAAACGTATAAACCTAGAGTTTATAAAATAAGAAACTGGAAATTCATGAAATGAATGGTAGGCCTACTGGTATTAGACTTTAAAAGTTTGACGTACCTCAATATATAAATCCATTATATGTAGACTTGATGGTGCCGTTATGTTGAAGTTTTCTCTTACAAAGTTTGTGCGTTTCTATTAATCGTAGTTTTAATTATGTTTAAATAGAGCGAAAGCGAATTTTTAACACTTCTAGCTCGAAAAATAGTGTTTAAAACATAGTTTAAAATGTTTTTAAACTACACGATTGTCCACATTAAAATGTCGTTTCTTGTGTGAATTATTTTTCATTCATTTCATCGTGCATGAGCAAAAAAATGATATGATCATAGCATGAGTCCGTGCATTGATTTAAACACATCGACCAACAATTTTGAGGTTCGAATGGCAACAAACAAGGAATCCAGAGTCATTTTATGAACCCTTATTTCGTTCACCATGACCATGATATGCGTGAAAATGTGCTTCAAAAAAAAGACAGAAGTCGTGTTCTTGTATATATGTTTTATGTAAGTAATAAAATATGACTATAACATAAATATAAACGTGACTTTGCAGTCTACATTTCGCAATCAACATACAACCAATGTAGTAAACAAAACATTTGTAATCCACTGCAACATAATCATCAGAGCCGAACAAAAAAAGCTCCAAACACACGTAGGAAATAAATATATATATATAAATGGTCATAAATGAAATATTAAAATATCTTCTTGGAATTAGTAAGTGTACAAAACTGCCCGGAAAACAGAACAAAACAAAACAAAACGAACCCAGAACAAATACATATGTTTACATATTCGACATATTTACATATTGGAAATAATCCTGACAACTATTTATTTAAAATCTTTTCTCTTGTAATTTATTTTTATTTTTATTACTTTTTTGGAAAAGGTTGTATATTCACACTGTTTCAAATAACACTGCAGAAATGAACACCTGCTGTCCAATGAAAAATGCCAGACCTTGAGAAACAACACGAAACGTTACCAGCCTACTATTTTTCCTCCAATCCTGAAAAGAAGTCCCGAAAACACATCCCTTATTCACTACAACAACTACTTTTCTCCGTGTCCAGGCTCATGAGTAGGATGCAAAATGTAATGAACATAAACTAAACGGGCACAGCTGACATAGAGAGTGTCAAGAGTTGGCCAATTTGAAGAAGAACTAAGAGTACAGCACGGTTTTTGGGCACTGAAAATTACCTGAGATATTTCTTTCTTTTTCATTTTGACTCATCACTCTCAATATGTTTAGCTGGAGCAGACTTGCTGGAATAGTGCCGGTTCAAAATAACACGAAATCGAAAAAGAAAATTGTAAACAAGCAAAGCATTAATGTTGTATACCTCAAACAAATACATTGTAAAAAAAAAAAAAGAAATTAAAATAACATTATATAACAGTATAAGTGCCTGATGCAAAGAGGAAAAAATGAAGAACTCAATATGACTAAATATTGTTTCAGACAGTGTATTCATGTTGCCATTTTAACGTCTATGCATCTTTAGACGATAGCAGGTGCTAAGAAATGATCTTTGTAAACAGTTTCTGGTGCACTTGCTTGTTTTGGAGGTTTTGACCAAGTGCCTGTTCTTTACATCACGAATTTCATCTGTCTTAGTTGAAATTAAAGTAAAATACTCGCTAGACAGAAAAAAAGATCTTAACGTTAAAACATTCTAAAAAAAAAGTAAACAACACAAATAATATCGGATGAATCATTGTGATAATTAATCTGGCTAATCGCTTTAATAAAATCACTGTCCACTCTCCTTTGTCCAAGGAGACATTGCCCTTTTTGTGACTCGTAGCTCCCTTTGATCGGCGGTGAAAGAATCGAATTTTTCCAGAGTGGCACAAGCGATACGATTTTCGTAAACACTGGTACTGATTTGATAAATGCACGCGAAGCTGACGTGGTACTTAATGCATTTTCACGTTATTCAGAATTATTGGCGTCCCATAAGCTGTGCGGTCACTGTCAGCGAACTCTTCCCAAACTTTCTGTCTCTGATCTCTTGGGATAAACAAAGGGGATAAACAAAATCCATTGTAGTTTCTTTTCAAACAAGTACACTGTTTATGATAGCAGTCACTGGACAGGACTCTGTAGCGTGTGATGGAGAGGGGGTGTCTCCGCTTGTGAGTATACGTCCTCCATGGTCGGATGAGGGACCCCCACCGGTGTCATTCTTTTCTCTTTTTGTCTTCTGTTGCAAAACCACACACGCACAACCTCTTTTTCCAACTGCAGAGTGCCAGCTAAAGAGGTGATTTCGTGGGCGGAGGGCTTGGGGCACTTTAAGAAATGGTTTTCCAGTGCCCCTTTCACTCCGACTTCGATGGAGGTCCTCTTCTTTCGTTTCCGGCCCTGTGCTGCAATCTTGTCCAAATTCGTGGGGCTGCCAGTGTTTGAATCTGTCTCCTCGAGCCATTTGTTAAGCAGAGGTTTAAGTTTGCACATGTTCTTGAAACTCAGTTGCAGAGCCTCAAATCGACAGATTGTGGTCTGGGAAAAGACGTTTCCGTAGAGCGTGCCCAGCGCTAAGCCCACGTCCGCCTGCGTAAAACCAAGTTTGATGCGCCTCTGCTTGAACTGTTTGGCGAATTGCTCCAGGTCGTCGGAGCTTGGGGCGTCTTCGTCCGAGTGGTATAGCAGTCACTGGACAGGACTCTGTAGCGTGTGATGGAGAGGGGGTGTCTCCGCTTGCGAGTATACGTCCTCCATGGTTGGATGAGGGACCCCCACCGGTGTCATTCTTTTCTCTTTTTGTCTTCTGTTGCAAAACCACACACGCACAACCTCTTTTTCCAACTGCAGAGTGCCAGCTAAACTGGTGATTTCGTGGGCGGAGGGCTTGGGGCACTTTAAGAAATGGTTCTCCAATGCCCCTTTGACTCCGACTTCGATGGAGGTCCTCTTCTTTCGTTTCCGGCCCTGTGCTGCAATCTTGTCCAAATTCGTGGGGCTGCCAGTGTTTGAATCTGTCTCCTCGAGCCATTTGTTAAGCAGAGGTTTAAGTTTGCACATGTTCTTGAAACTCAGTTGCAGAGCCTCAAATCGACAGATTGTGGTCTGGGAAAAGACGTTTCCGTAGAGCGTGCCCAGCGCTAAGCCCACGTCCGCCTGCGTAAAACCAAGTTTGATGCGCCTCTGCTTGAACTGTTTGGCGAATTGCTCCAGGTCGTCGGAGCTTGGGGCGTCTTCGTCCGAGTGGTCCTGGTGGTGGCTGAACGGCTGCTGAGGTGACTCCATCTGGTTGTCATGGCTACCCGCGTCGTCGTGGAGCGGGTCCCGCAAGCCGTGGTGCAGCGACGGCTGGGGGCTTAACATAGTGTAGCCCGTCTGAGAGTAGACCAGCGACTGGTGACCATTGGAGGCGGGAGAGAGCGGGGATAAGTGGTGTGTTGTGGTCGGCGCCCATGATCCGTGGTGGCTGTTTTGCGTCGGCTGGTGGACCAGATGCGATCTGTGATAGCCGTTCCCCAGGTCTTCTCTGCTCTGCACGCTGCCTTTGTTGTGCTCCGCTTGTCCGATGTGGGTGCCGCTGGTCCAGTCGGTGTTGGAGGTTGGCAGCCACTGGTGGTGCGTTAGGCTCATCGGATGTCCCGTGTTGGTCGCTAGCCCTTGTAAGTACTCGTGGTGCATCATTTTCTGCACCTCTCTATAGGTCGTCCCCTGGTGCATCCTGTCCGAATCCGGATGCATTAGCGGGTTCGAAGGCAACGAGTTATTCCGCGGAATATACTGAGCTGTTGTCGCCATGGCTCCGACTTAGAAAAATGACAAGCACTTCAGAGATCTTTGAGCTTTAGAGCCCAAAACTCAACAACCTGCTCTGGGAGGTCTTAGTGAAGAGCTAAGACACGCCTCCCCTACGCGTGCATTGGTTCCTCGCCGACTACAGCCCACCAGGGTTCCTTATTACCTCTCGCGGGCCGCTTGGTTGGCTGCCGGGCGCCGTGATCCCAGTTACTCGCAATCGACCGCTTTCACGATTTCTCTTTTTTCCCTTTCTTCTCCTCTCCCCGCTAGTCTAAAGTGCGTGAGCAGCAAAACCATAGGAAATTACTGGGCTTTGAGGGTTGTTTTGCAAATAACCACGTGGGGGAGTGTGGTACTCTTTTTGGTGGGGTGGAAGAATGACCCGTCTAGCATTGCCTCCTTTTAGTAACTGTACCGCTCCTCTTTGCAAGTAGATTAGTATTCTAAAGTATCTCAGGAGCCACCCAGAAGAAAGATGAGAATCAGTATGTTCATTAAAAGATGTTTAAATGGCAATATCATTTAAGTGTTACACACATACACAATTATTTATGATTATCGTGTTATTGAAGTAGCACACGAATGCACAATCATGGAAGCATGCATCGAATTAATAAAACATCATACAGAAATACCGACCGCCCACTCTGTAACATATCAGACAATCTCCATCATTATGCATAAATGCATAACCAATCTTCAGCCCACCCTTTAAAAAATACACCACCCATCTAATTTTATTTACACGTATGCAGTGCATACGCGTTTTAATATTTAATGTAAATTTCACTGGGAGTAAATTTAAGTAAAATTCCACATTAGCATTTACAAATTAGTACATTTAAGTTGTTGGCTTAATAAACTCATATTTAAGCCAACAAATTTTAACAAACATACAAAGTCAAACATACAAAATAACTCGAAGCATTTTTCTAAACCGTAACTTTGAGAGAAATCCAGTGTTTCTCCCTTCTGGCCTCCTCCGTATTCCTTTCCCGGCTGATCTGATTATTTTTCCCTTCACGTTTTGTCCCAATAGCAAATTACCAATTCTATGAATTGCAAAGCAGCCTCGGAGACGCTGAGGGGTAGAGAGGGGGAGATGCGAAGATTGAAAGGGATCTTTGCAAACACAATCACGTTCTTAAATGGAAATGTGGGGCTTTAAACAAATCTTACATCTCTCCTGTTCCAGTCGTCGAAAACTCCGCAATCAGGCACACGTTCGACTCCATCTAAAACCACAGCTTTTTTTAGAAGATTTTTTGGTATCACTTCTATTTAAATTATTTACCTCACTGTATTTTTTTAGTTCACGTTCGTGTTTGTGTTTGTCTTGCTCTAATGGGGTGTTTCCAAAGGCTTTTGCGAGGAAATGTGCCGTTACATGCGGAGAATTCAGGCATCAAACCAAAACGCTTCTCTGTGGTAAGTTTGCACTCTGCTTTTCCTATCTGTCCATCTGCACGAGCTTCACGCGTTCATGGAAGTGCAACCTAAATGATGTTCTTGGGGTCACAAGTGCTCGTCACCACTCTGTCAAAGGCGTGGTTATGTAAAACCACCAGTTATTTATTTATCTATCACATATGCAATAACACTTGTAGAAGAAATGTCACCATTTTTTTCCTCAGGAACAGCTGATTATAACGTGTATTTTATACCAGATAAAACAACATGTCGGTTACTTTAATACGATTTTCTCAGATGGTTGACACCTGCACTGTAATATAAAGAAATTTGCACAAAACTAAACTAACATAGGCCTAACATGTTTTTGATAAGAATGACTTAACTTTACATCCAAAGCTTTTGAGCGTTTATATTAGACAGCATCTCCTTAGTTCCTTTTGAATATATTGTTGGAATTTGATTAATAAACAATTGTAATTTTTAGCTACTTTATAATGAAAAACGCGGTGGTTTTGCGTCCACGATAATATTACAAATTCAATATATATATATAATTTTTTTTTTGTGCGTGACCTATAGGGCGAAAATTAATATGTGAGCCACAAGAAGTTATAGGAAAGCAGATGACAGGATTTTATCTAAATAGTACAGTATAACCGATTGCAATTCGATGGCCGGTTCTGCCCCAGAGAGCCGCAGTTAATGAGGACGCTTCACTCTACAGTTGCTCTCATTTGGAAGTCTATAAAAAGAGCGGTCATTTATGCCCATAGAGCTGCGTCACAGTAGCAGCTCAGTCAAACTCTTCGCTTAGTTTGTCAGCTAAAAAAAGCGGTTCAAAAAGCCCCCAGATGCTTATTTTTTTCCTTCGCAAAGAATATGGCCTTGTGTGGAGCGAGGTGAATTTTTCCTGGGATGCACGACGTTGCTATGGAGAGCGGTTTGAAAGGATCACACTGATCCTGCAGATGAATGATTTGCCATACAGGAAAAGACAAATAATAGCCCTTGTTTTGTAAGATGGCAATGAAAGACAGTAGGAAACAATTGTGGGCTTTGAGTATCCAGGATGTACTAAATCTGGTTACAGAATTTTATAGCTCGAAGTTTAAGAAAAAGTTTTACTTATCTCTGTTATAAGTTGACTTTCTTCAGGTTAAACCAGGCTGATTTGAATTCAAATATTAAGATAACAAATTAAAGTCTTTGCTGGAAAATGTGCTATAATTATCTCATTAATTCATTTGATGTTCAAGTAGCTCTATGAGAAACTTTTAATTTTCATAATGTTTCCTTTCGTTTGCAAAAATATAAGATTGGTTTCTACGGGGCTAGTTTTTTCTTTCTTTCTTTTTTATCACTATTCACGCGTCTGTAGTCACGTGCTTTAATCTGCTCGAGGGACCCCCTCCACTTGAATATAATTCGAGTCTGGTCGTCAAACCCTCCATTAACCATAGGCCGTAAAAGTACACAGGAGAATAAGTTCAGAAAAACAGCAAAATATACACGGCGTTATCTGTGGGTGCCAAATGCTGAAACAATTCACGTGCAAACCTTTCATTATCATATTAGAGATTAAAAAGTTTCATTGTTTTGACTTTTCATTTATCCTAAAATTCCATTTTGACACTTTTAAAAATAGATACAAAATTGCCCATAAACTAATTCTATACCAACTTTAGAAAGCTCCATTAGTGCCATACATATCGACTGAAATGAGTGTTTTAATTAAAGATTCACCTCTCATTCCATTCTACCCGTTTGTTTTCACCTGTTCACTTTGACAGACACGTGTAATGGGTACTACCCGCGCTTCCTGAGTAGCCACGAATTTACAGACACATCCTGCGCTTTTTCAGGTACCTCTTTCTCTCTTTTTTGGTTAATGAACTCAGGCGATTCCGCAAGCATCCCGAGGGGATGGAACGGGAATGTTTTCCTTTCCGTAAAAGGTGTGGGCTATCTCTCTCCAACTCTCGACCTATCTTTGGGCTAATTAGGCGGGGCCCTGAAGACGCAGGCATGAATATTCATGTGAAAGCACCGGCGTGCAATTAGCCATGGAGTGAGTTCCTAACTTCAATCACTGGCCAGTGCAAAGAGAGAAGGGTATTCTTCCCTCACAGCCAGAGAACAAGCCTTTTTAAAACATAAAGTGTATGAGAAACAGCTAAGAGACTAACCTGACTTCTTTTTTTACACAGTTAATTCTATGCGCAGTCAATACTTTTTAATGGATGGCAACCCTATTTATAAATTACAGGCTACTTGCATTCAATTTTTCCATTACCAGCATTTTATAGGATTTTGAAAGACTCAGAAGTGCATTTAGTCAATCTAGTATTTTATAGACTGAATTATGTTTTTAAATCACCAGATTCTATCCTAGATAGGAGTTTTCAACAGTTACAGACCCAGGGACCTCCATGCAGAGACTCCCAGAGACCCCACAATATAGAAAGCTTTATTTTCCAGTCTGTAATATCTTTCATTAAAAACATCAGCATTATTAAATGACATATTGCTCACCAGAACATAATGTTAATTTAAATTCAGCTTAATTTATCTTCTCCTCAGACCTCTGCAGTACCTTCACAGACCCCCAGGGGTCCCCTGGTGCAAAAACCCTTGGCCCTAGAGAGTATTTTAAATAAAATTAGCATGTATTGGATGGCATGTAATATATGAATGAATGAATGAATGAGGCATTTATATAGCACTTTATTGTGTATTGCTGTACACCCAAAGTGCTTTACAATCATATGGAGGGTCTCTCCTCATCCACCACCAGTGTGCAGCATCCGGATGATGCGACGGCAGCCACAGGACAACGGCGCCAGTGCGCTCACCACACACCAGCTACAGGTGGAGAGGAAAGAGAGGTATAGAGCCAATTCAATGGATGAGGGATTATTAGGAGGCCATGATTGACAAAGGCCAGTGGAGGGAATTTGACCAGGACAATCATTGACCAGGACACCGGGTTACACCCCTACTCTTTTACAAAAAGTGCCATGGGATTTTTAATGACCACAGAGAGTCAGGACCTCGGTTTAATGTCTCAACCGAAGGACTGTGCTTTTTACAGTATAGTGTCCCGTCACTATACTGGGGCGTTAGGACCCACACAGACCAAAGGGTGAGCACCCCCTGCTGGCCTCACTAACACCTCTTCCAACAGCAGCCTAGTTTCCCCAGGAGGTCTCCCATCCAGGTACTGACCAGGCTCAGCCCTGCTTAGCTTCAGTGGGCAACCCGTCTTGGGCTGCAGGGTGATATGGCTGTGGCTGTGTGTATGCTTTATCTACAATAATGATGAAACATTCTGTACTTTTTCAGATTGTTGAACCTGACCGTCCTTTACTTTTGTAATTCTTTAGTGCAGTTTTAAATCTCAAATCACTGGGCAGTTCTTCTTTTTACATTTACTCCAATTCTAATATACTCCCAGCTATTTTGGACAAGTTAATGTAATCATTTATATCTATAATTACCATTAATTAATTTAGTTTTTTTTTCTGTAATCTCTTCCTCTTTCTTTTTCTTTCACACACATTCACACACAAAGTTATGTACCGTAACCTGT